CGCTGGTAGCACCCCCAACAGTCTTGCCAAGGCCGTCAGTGGCGCCCTGAACACCTCTTCCGAGGGGTCCTCCGACGGTACCACCGACCTGCTTACCGAGGCCGCTGGTGACGCCACCGACGGTTCTACCAAGGCCGTCAACAGTGCCGCCAGCCGCCTTGCCGACGCCATCGACAACGCCACCGGCAGTCCGTCCGACTCCGCCAACGGTCCGGCCGGCAGTTCCAACGACTCCACCGGCAGTCTTGCCGACGCCTCCGACGGTCTTACCGACGGTATCCGTAACCTGGCCCACAGGACCTCCTGCCTGAGCCTTCTTCGCTGCGCGACGAGCCTCAATCTCATTCGTGGGAGTGAGGGCGCTAGGGTGGTACTGCTTCTCCTTCTTTGGCGTAGCAGCCTTGGCCTTCCGGGCCTCGTGCTCTGCGGTAGGTACAAGAGCGCCAGGGGCGTAGACCTTCTCCTTCTTCGCGACCTTGGCAGGGCTAGTGGTAGCGGCAGGGACGTTCCTGACAGCAGGTGCGGGAATAGGAGCGGCCTGCTTCTTGACGGGCGCGGCCTTGGGTACTGTGACGGGAGCCCTGGGTACAGCCTGTGGTGCCGCGGCGACTGCGGGCTTCTTCTTGGGCAGGTTGTCTTCGTGAGTCCGTGCTGCTGCTGCTTCCTTCCTGGCCGCTTCCTTTGCGGCCGCGGCCTTGCGAGCTTGGATTCTCTTCACGATATCTGAGCCAGTCGTCTCTGTGTACTGAGTTGTCTTCTTCTCCTGCATCTTCTTGACAAGATCTGCGCCACTGCTGCCGCTGGCAGCCTTGCTAGCAGTGTGCGATGCTGACTTGGCCGTCTTTGAAGCATGGTCGGCTGTCTTGTGTGCGGATGATGAAGCGGTCTTGGATGCGTGATCCGCGGTTCTGTGAGCGGAGGATGTGGCTGGTTTCGATGCAGACGATGCAGTCTTGGAAGCTGATGCTGCAGGCTTTGAGGCCGATGATGTGGGCTTCTGTGTGGAGGAAGAGACCTTCTTTGTTACCGGCGTCGTGGTAGCGTGGTCTTTGGTCGATACATTGTCCTTAGCGGCGGCTGTGGCTGAGGAGATCTTCTTTGGCGTCACTTGCGATTTCCGTTCGTCGACCTTAGCGGCCGTTGCCTTTTTGGCGGAGGAGACCTTGTGGGGAGTTGCGGCTGGTGGGACGAGTCGTGTTAGTGACGGATGCAACCTCACAACTCTTCGAGTTGGCCATCTAATACCTGGGTGAGGTGATTTGCAGGGCTGACTAACCTTCCACAGAAGCACTGTGGTTCTTTACTGATGATGGCATGATGGAATGATATGTGGTACTATAGGAAAACTCTGTGTTTCGGGTTCGCGATAGTCTGACGAGTTTTGTTTTCACAGAGTGAGTTGCCTCGAGTTGGCTTGTTGAAGGTTGTTCTTTCTGGTGTGGCTGATGCTCTATATACACTGCGAAGCTCCGTAGCAGCTTCTGGGGATGACGTAGATGGAAAAGGATGAGGAGGGTGGTGTGAGCTGACGTGCGTCCACCGTCTGTGACGTCGAGTCTGGGGTTGTCCCGGGGGTTTGATAGGCCTAGATTGACCATCCATTATGCGAGACACCAATCGACCCCAGAAACACCCGCCACACTTCTGAGCACCACATGCACCGCCGACGCACGATGAGGGAGGGATAGCGAGGGAAACATAGCCAAACATGCAGCTTTTCTTTCTCGACATTTCTTCCCGAGTCCCCCAAATTGCCCTCCCCCAGTCACCGCTCGCAGTGGACAGCTGAGATGATGCTCGGTTATGACATACCCTTGGTTGGATTCCCTGCTTTCTGGACGCGGTTGATCGCATCGACACGAGCTAGAGGATGCGTGAACCGGACGAATCAGAGCCTCGAGACTGATAAACTCTCCCTCCCTTAGCCTGGACTGCGAAACATGGCTTTTGTGAGGAGATCAAGGAGCACGGTTGCGCTGCCTTGTCTCGAAGTGACGCCTACGAGCAGCCCGTCGGCGTGAGAGACGGGGAGTTGAGGAGTTGCGTTGGTGCTTTGTTCTTTTCATCCGATTGATCCTACGCCCCTCCTACTGGTTGTGGCTTAGCTTACAGCAGCTCTTACTGGGATGTCATCGCGGCTCGCATGCTCGATATCCACAAGCGAGGTCTCGAGCGTTATCGTGTCGACATTGTGGATCGAGAATTGTGGTCTAGGACTTGTCAGTTGCGGAGTAAGACTGCTTGATATCAGCGGACAGAAATTCTGCTTAGTCTCGGTGAAGTCGGAGGGGAGAGGAGAACGTTTGACTTTTTTTCTTCTGCATGGAGCGAGAGCCATGTTTGCCTCCTTGGATCCATTATTCTTAGGGTGGCGGATTCGGCTGTTGGAGCTAGTGGTCTTGGTCTATCCCACACGATCGCGATTCAGCGCCCGTCTGGTGGCGACCGTTGACAATGAGGGGTTTGGATGAGGTGAGCGATTTCCTTCGAGGACAGGACGAACTCCTAATGATAATGGCGAGCTACATCAATCATCTCAATCACAGATCCGGATTGCTAGCACGCTGGTCTGAAATGCAAAATTCAGCTGTTGCCAACTGCCTTATTAGACCTGGATGTATGAATGTTTACTTTGCGACTCTTTCGTTTCGCCTGCATCCCGTCGCTGCTCTCCCAAATTATCCAGTAAGCGAAGAATATGCCTCTGACATGGAGCCACAACAAGGCAGATCTTTCAGCATACACGGGCTTCCTTCAAAGAATTTTCCTCGCCTTTATTCCACTGTAGTGTCTTGGGCAGCTTGTCACGAGGAACATTTCCTTGCAGGCTTTCTTACTGAACAGTCCCTATCGGAACAAACGAAAATCTATTTCGTCCACGTCCTGCAAGAATGTACTCGAAGTCTGCTTAAAAAACAACCCGTGCTCATTCAAAAGGCGAGTCGGGTACCACTTTCAAAGATTCTTTGATCTTGACCGAAGAACTACGCATACAAGGCATTGTTCATCCAATAAACCGCGAACATCCCAAAGACTGCTTTAGATGCTGCAAGTAAAGACGAAATCCATGGCAACTGTTCTTCATCATTGTCTTTTGTCAGCTCGTCTCGCAGACTGAGCGTTATTGTAATGAATCCTAGATAGAAAAGGAAGGTGCCGGCTACTTGCGAACTCAATGAAACAGATGACTATCAAGCACTTTACATCTACACAACACACAAAACAAACTCACAAATACACGACTTCAGTCCCAAGAAACCATCCACTGTCCTCCGACCAAGCCTCGACAGACTATCATGACGAATTCTCCCAACAAGCTGGACAACAGAGGTAAAATCTCGCCAGCCATGTCCGCCCTTACTCTTAACATTCGTCCTACGCCTGGAAAATATATTCAACCTCGGAAGGGACTCTTCTGCCTCGGTCAGCTCCCAGTTGACATCCGCTACCTCATCTATGAGTTCATACTCGTAGAACCCAAGAGAAGGGACATCGAACACAAATCTGACTGCTTCTGGCATTCCGATCGTCTTAGACTACTAGAGCCCCCCGCTTTCCTGCTCAAAGACATCGTAATTTCAGAGGAGCCTCACCGGCTTATGTGGGATCTAGATGGTTATTACTGGCCTGGGAGTACCATGTGCCGCTGCGATCAGCGCAAGGGACTCGGGCTACTGTTGACCAACAGACAGGTGCACGCCGAAGCAGCGCCCCTCTTCTGGTCCCAAAACAACTTCAGTTTTCTCAGCGGCCACGAGGCCATCACGGCCCTGAACCATCTTGTCCGGCCAGAATATCGAGACCTCATCTCTTCCATCACTGTGTTGAGTGCTGACCAGCGCGGTACACCTTGCAATGTCCGGTTCGCCAGTGATACGACACAGGGATGTGGCCCGGTGCCATGGGACTCATTCTGGCTGACGATGATAAGGTGCCGAAACCTGAAGGCGATCGAGGTCCCCACTGTTGCTTTGGAAACCTGCCCCGATGGGTTCCATCAACTTGCGACAAAGAAACCCGCGCTGAATACAAACCTCGTCGACCTCATTCCGTTTCGCAAGTGGGAGGATAATCTCTTTTCATACCCCGCCGGCACGCATCTTGAAGAGTGTTATGACCACAAGCATGATATCATTTACGCCGAGACTTCGTCCAGACTGCCAACTGTTCAGGAGTTGAGAAGCTCTGGCGAGGAGCCTTGCATCGACATTTGGAAGACGCGCGCCAGAGAAAGCAAGAACCTCCTTCGTCGCACTCGCGAGGTCATCATAGAGACGTGCTTGCGCAATTTTGACGAGCAACATAACTACCAGTGGCGTCTCCGCCCCATAATTGACAGCAAGGAAACTAGATTTGTCCGTGTCGATTTGGGTGAAAGTATATACTCCTCTGTCAAGTTCTACGGCCTTCCCGCATCCCTCAAAGAAGCACGGCAACTTGCTTGGAAAGAGCACCTTGAGGACGAAGAATTCAAAAAGTTGAAAGGTATGTACCCCAGTCACCACGAATCGAAGATGTGGCACCGATGGTTCAGGGAAGTCGTAGAGGAGGAAGGGTTGACTGAGGAGGAGGGTGCCGAGCTGAGGCTTACTGGGTATTATTACACTGTGTCTGACGACGCTGAGACGGCTAACATCGAGCCGCCTCATACTCAGCCGAAAATCGACCTTTCTCACCTACGTGGTCCAACCAATCCCCGAAGGGCGAACAGGGGTATTCTCTGGTTTAAGAGAACAACCGCAAGTTATGATGCTGAGCAGAGGCGCAAGGAGAAGAAGAGAGATCTTGAGATGATCTGCAGAGAGTCACTCGATGACGACGATGACGACTGGTATTAGTCCTCAGGTCTTTTGCCAGCTTTATGCATGCGAGAAGAGTTTTGCTTACTCCCAACAAGTTTAAGAATTAATAGACTTATGCTGCGTCCGGTTTTATCCTCATTTTAAGTGAATGGAATATGGCATCGAAGCTTGATAAGAAGTGCCTTCTCCCAATGTTTATCAGAGCAGGTATGATCTCCACCAAGTCTCCTCTTCCTCTAGCCAAAGGCGAGGGCTTCCAGGCATACCAAACATGTGGCCCTCGCCCTGAACCTCCCTGATTCTCACATCCCCTCCCTTATCCTTGACAGCTTTGTAGATGAGCCGGGCTTGCTCGATCGGCACCACGGTATCCGCGACGCCATGAAGGAGGAACAGCGGAGCCCCAATCTTTTCGGCGTGGTAGAGGGGGCTTCGCTCACGATATCTTTCCTCCTTTTGTTCGTCTGTCATGCCCGGATCCAGAACAAGCGCGCCCATGTACTCGGACTCTAGCTTATGCGTGGACTCGTCCAGCTTCTTGACGTCACTCACACCACAGACGCAGAATCCGGCGTCAAAGGTTGTGGGATGGCGGACCAGGGCCTGGAGGACGTTGTAGCCTCCAGCGCTGGCACCGACGATGCCCACCTTGGCGACTCTGCCTGCTTCAACCAAGTGCCTGGCGACTTCAGCTGCGTCGTCGGCGTCGACGATGCCCCATTTTCCAAAGAGTGCCTCGCGATACTCTCTGCCGTGGCCGGTCGAGCCCGTGTAATTCAACGCGAGATAGGCATAGCCACGTGCAGTAAAATACTGAGTTCGCAGCTTGAGACCAGAGCCGGTGTAGCCTGTTGGCCCGCCATGCGAGGAGATGACTAAGGGAGGTATCGCGCCGTCCGGGCCGATGAACTTGGGGTTCTTTGGCATCCACAGGGTGCTGTAGATTGTGCGAGATGGTTTCCCCTTCGACTCGAACTTCACAAGCTCCGGCTTTGAAAATAGTGCATCGTCCAGCTTTTCGTCTGTGGTTCCTCGAAGAATCGTTGTGTTTCCACTGATAATATCGATATTGTACAAAGCAGATGGAGAGCCGGCCTCATCCGCAACAAGGAGCAAAGATCTGTCGTCCAGGCGAGCCATCGCGTCGTTGACAATGCCGCAAATGCCAGATGATCCGATGGGTTTCCAATCCTTATTCTCAAGGTCAATGAGGATGAGCTGGGCCTCGCCGAAAGTTATCGCTGCCGCAGCCACGTAACGTTCCGAAAGTGGTGCGTACGTTTGACTATGGCGATGTTAGTAATACGTCGTGCAACTTGGAAGCTTTCGTGTCTACCAACCTTCCCTGATACCATCTGATCTCTCCGATCTCAGCATTATCCAGTCCGCTCAACTTGACTTGTGTAGGCTTTTCGGCGCCAGGAGCTAGACGGAACAGTCTCCGGAACCCATCAACCTCAATGCCGAGGAACAAACTTCCGTCCGGGCCCCATCGAGGCTCAGCAGCGCCATCTTGGTTATTGCCAGCAAGCAAGACCGCGTTCTCGACTTTCGCTTCTGACGTCCAATCCGCAACGAAGATCTTGGCGGATGCGAATGGAAGATTGGGTTGATCCCACTCCATCCAGGTAAGCTTCTTCCCGTCAGCACTGAACTGAGGAGTGTAGTAAAAGTCAGCGCCCTCGACAACGCGCTTGACTTCGCCGGTGTCTACATGAATAGCGACGACGTAATTCCGAATCTCGTGAGGCGTGTTGATGGTGTGATCCTCTTGGTTCGCCAAGACCCAGGGGTTCGTGGGGTTGGCGCTGAAGTTGGAATATCGCAGCTTTGAGTCGCCAGTCAGATCAACGACTTTGCCAGTGTCGACATCGAGTGATTTGACGGTATTGTCACGGTTGGAGAAGATGATGCGACCATCCGCGGCGACGTCGTAAGTAGAGCCACCGTATTCGTAAACTGTGTTGCCGGCGCTGTAGGGTGCTGGTAAGAGATCCTTGAGGCCACCGTTCTTGGTAATCTCAACGAAAACCTTACGTCCATCATCCTTCGACTCAATGAAGTACGCCCGTCCCGATTGACGCTTTGCATCAATCAGTAAATGCACTTCGATTGGTCGTCACGTCTACCAGATCACTTACATGGACTCGAGGCGATGATACAGACCAGCTCTTGGAGGTCACAGTATCGACAGTGATTGGGCTCTCCCAATCGCCATACCGGGCCACTCGTTTAGTTACCATGACGCAGATAATTCGCAAGAAGGTAATTGTGCGATCTTGGATGGTGGGAAAGATACTCGAAAGCCGTCGTGGAAGAACGCGGCCACATGTGAGTCACCAGTCGTCGTTGGAGGGGTTGAAGATGATGCTTACGTGAAGTGAGAGTTGCACGACCGAGATAGGCAGGAGACATGTGCCGGGTTTGCCGGTAGCGAACTTCGGTGAAGCCCCGCTTTTGAGCCGATGTTGGCCGTGCTGTCCATCCGACAGTGGGGGAAGCTTGCCGTGGGTATCGGCATTGCTGTCCGGGATGCTCTTGAGCGGCTTAGCCAACCCGAAGCATTTGATTGAGAAAGTGTCGCAGCCTCAACATGAATGAGAAGCTCTGTGTTGTGCTTCATCATTATTGACACTGTATTCTAAGAGGCAGCCATTGCAACCAAACCATACTGCCTACTCTATCTAAAAGTTGCAAGATCTAATCTCACCAAGCGGCCAAGGTCTTTACTTGAGCCTCATCCTTGAGGGTATGTACTAACTCAAACATTCTTATCGAGTAGAGATCATAGCTGAATATTTTCACCCGTCTTCAGGCTAAAAATACAGCCTCAAGTCGGATTTCAAGGTCAATCGTTGAAACCATTGCTTAATCGCAGATGACCACCGACGTCAAGCTTGGACGAAGACCGATCCGGCCGAAACCTTAGCCGCACAAGTGACCGTAGCTCTCCAATCGCCGGGATATTGCCAGAATCGAAGGCCGAGTCAAAATGGGCTGATTGCCAAGGCGAACTAAATGCCGTTCGAGAGAGAAATGCTCCCGACTCATCCTCCAACGTTTTCCAGATTCCAAAAAAACTCGTCTCAATTACCCGACTAATTCCTTCTTCAGTGACTTGTGTAATCGGTCCTCAAAGCAAGCCCAGCTGCTCCAATTCTCGCCTCGGGCACAAGAAGCTTTTACCAAGATTACCAAGCGCACAAAAGAGAAGGAATTCTCGATCCAAGAGTTGATCAGAACCAGGGGGGTTCCGGTTGCGCAAACCTGAACCAGCTCCATGGCGCCATCCAACGCCCGCGTTTCAGTCTGGTGCAAGTTGAGCCGGCGCGGCAACTCGCGCAAGCATCGCAGCACCGCAAGCGCTACGGTGAACGGAGCAACTGGTCGCATGAGCGCTATCCGCCGGCCTGGGTAGAGTTGCTGTTGGCCTGTTCTGGTGCTGGACACCCTGGCAGTTGGGGGCCAGGACAGGGGGTCCGTTGGTCTTTCAGCGTGCTGATTCGACCAAAGGATCGCTCACGTTTGAGAGTCTAAGTTTAGCCTACGACAGCTGTCATCTGAGACTTGGTGAAGGGGTTCGGATTCTACCCCTTCAAAATCAGCCGAAATTCAGGATCGTTAGGGGACAGTTCAGAAAGGGCGGTAGTAAAGCAAGGGTTTGTGGTGGCTAGTGTCGACTAACAACGGCGAAATTCTAGCGCTGTTTATGGGAATCAGACGAACATCAGAGGATCGCAACCTTAGTCTTTGTAGCATCTCCATTCTGCCACGATCAAGATAACTCGTAACTCATCTCTAATGGAACGGTTCTGGAACAATCCGACTTCAACATCAACTCGTACTTTTGCAATATGGCTTCGTCGTTGGTTCCAGTGGTCGATGCTTCTGCCCCGCATGAGTTACCACCCGAAAACGACAAGTAGAGACGAGTTCCCACACCGCCAAGCAGCGCCAATGCCGGAGCTCAACGACAAACTGGCATGACCAGCCGCCCGCCGTTGCGCAGCACGCAAGGTGACAAACCCCCCAAATTACCGCATTTGTTCATCATGAGGCTCTCGAGATGCACCTTGGCGCACCTTGGCGGCGCGGATGGTGGGGGAGGACTCGTCTACTTGCGCATCCTTGCGGTCTTGTGTGGGTTTCATGATGCCGTCCTTCTTGGCGAGTCGGCGGCCCTCACAACCAAACCCCGCGCATGTCTGCCGTAGACGAGAGAATCTTATCAGCTAAATCAGTTCGTCTAGGCATATAAGCTCTTTGAGTACCTAGATGCCGCCCACCGGCGTTCATCGTGATGGTTGCGCTCTTTTCTGTTCCCATTCCAGTATACTTCACTTCTCACCAACTCTTCTTCTCCGCGGCAAGCCCGCTATTACGAGTCAACCGCGTTGATCTCTTTCACAGTCTATCCTTTCACTCTGATATTAATTCACTTTTTTTCGTTTTCGGTTTTCAAAATGAGGCTCTCAACACTTGCCACGATCTCATGCCAACTCCTCCTGGCAGCGTCACTGCCAATCTCGACTACTGAAATATCCTCCCGAAACAACGGTATCGCACAAGCCTCTACGGATTCCAGTCTCGCAGACCGAAGCATCGCACAAAGCGCCGCGACAACTCCCTCAAAAGCCACCGAAAAAGAAGCTGCCGCAGGCGAGGCAGGCACAGCCGAAGGAGGTGCAGCCGGAGGAGCAGAAGGCGGGGCTGCTGGCGGCGAGGAGGCAAAGGATCCCAACGAAAAGGAGATTGAAGGGCAATTTATCGTTCCCGTGCGGTTAGGCGGCGCGAATGTTAAGCAAGATGTTCTCTTTCCTCCTGCAGTAAGTCTCAGACTCTCATCAAAGGGTATCTCAAGACGCAAAATATCTGATGCTCATTACTCGCAGAAAAATGGACGTTTCGAGGTCGAGTTCCAGAACGCAGTCGGTCGAACCCTCACCGTAACAGAAAACAGGTCTCCTGCGCCGCCTCCCGCGGGCTTCACCGCTATTGAGGCGGTGTCGTACAAAGTCAGCCTCGCGGAAGGCGCACAGGGTGTGACTCTCTCAAAGATTGATTACATTCTCAACCCAGGAAGTGAGTCAGGCTCTTGAGTCCTGCTCGACTGGTAGTGGTGGGCTAACATGAGATGTAGATACCCTCGATATCAGCAAGGGACAAGTAGGCCGCCTCTTCCCGGAACTCAACGCCTTCATCATCGACCCGGCTCTCGGTGAACTCGAATTCGAAGCCGAGGAGAATGAGTTGACCTTGAAGGTTGCCAACATGAATGGAGAGTTCGCCTTCTTCCTCCCGCAGGCTGGTGCTGCTGCCGGTGCGGCTGCATAGGGATAGGACCTGGCTCCTGACTTGGAAAGCTCATCCGCAAGGGTATGGCTTGCGATGAGGTCGTATGCGTGTTGGTGCCGCGGAGTAGCGGCCATGTTGTGATAGAAAGAAGCGACGGGAGTGAAGCAAGCCGAGCACACACTGTAACTCATTCATCCTGTAACAGATATTCGTTGACGAATAGTTCAAGTTCTCTTTGTATATTATCAGTAGTCTCAGGATTACTCCTTTTTCTCAAAAGCCGTCGAGGATAATACCCCTACACCAGATTCATATCCTGTACAATCCTATCTGTCTTGGACAGTATGATGCTCACAAACATCTGATGGCCCTTTGACACATTCACGTCGGAGGCCGCAAACACTATAATTTGGCCATGAATCCTTGGTAAGAACATAGATGTTGGCAACGTAGGACCTTCTTGCCCAAGCCAAGGGCTGAGTCGAGACTTTGAGAGTCACGGGCAATCCAGTTTTGGTTCTAAAGAGCGAGTCAGTACATCCCACATGGTCAATGACACGAGACCTAGCATCCGCAACATACATCCATCATCAGCTTCGTCGCTGCTCAGGCGCCATTGCGCTTCGACGCGACACTGGCGAGTCTTACGGAGGCTCTTCCCGCGCCTGACGCATACAGCACTCGTCTCTCATCTTGCGTGCTGGCAAAGCCTTCTTCGGGACCATCCCCATCACCGAGAAGCTCATCGGAATTGCAAGACCACGTTCATACTAACATCTCGCGGCAAAGTTTGAGCCTTTCACTGGCCTCCCTGAGGAGCTCCGAGTGCGACTGCTTAAAGCTTGTCTCGAGCAGGTCCAATAGTTCCGGCAACCTCTCGTTAAGGTCCCTCGTGGCCTCTTCGTTCAACTCTTCCAAATTCGAGAAGTAGGCCAGGTAACGAGCAATTTCGCTATACCTTCCCAGGGGCGTATTCCTGTTGGGGATGCCCAGAGCCTGTACAAAAGACCATATTGTCAAGACCGCATAGTACATGATCCACGGCCGATGAGGATCCGGCTCGCTGCGGCAGGAGTAGTAAACAGAAACCGGTTCAGGCAAAGCGCCGAAGCTACTCGTCCGCCGTTTTGGGTTTTTGTGGTCTACAAGAACCCGGTAGAGTAGTCTGAAAGCATGCAGAACGGCATGTCGAGTGGATGGTGCATTCGACCAGGTCCTCATTCTTGCAACAGCATTGGCATGATCGCGAGTTGAGACTTTGCGACCGACCAATCGTTTTGCGCCGGCATATACCTGACAATCGACGATGTCAACGTGAAGACTGATATGGGCTAGGTGGTAGAGAACAGCGGCCGAGTGGATGGGCCCATTGGAGCTTGATGGCTGTCCTAGCCCTTCGGAAAGATCGTTCGCACCAACAGCGCTGTCAAAGGACTCTTTCCACTCGTCGAAAGCGCGGAAAAGTATCTTTTTCCAGCTGTCGTGGGTTTCCGTGCTGGGTGTGCGCAGGTCAAGCCACTTGAGGTGAGACTCTCGACGGGACAGATGCCATCCCACACTGAGCAGCCCCGACATGATAATCATGCGTCCAAAAGTGTGTGTCTTGACTTCCTGCCCGTGTAAAGCACTTTTCAATCCATCGAGGAAGGATACCTGCTTGATGCCGTACATTCTGTAGTTCCCGTCGAGTTGTCGGAAGACATTCGGGGTCGCGGCTGTCCACAAGCCATCGTCGCATGGTAGAGGAAGTCGTATCTCGTGCGGAGCCATATCGGCGTTGTGGCCGAACATGGCTGCATGGACAGTGTCCATCATGAAGGCCGCGAAAACGACGCGATGCATGGATTCGCTCTCGGCCCATCGAATCCACCATGTTCTTGAGTCTGAAGAGGGTCCTTCGTTTAGCGCCGGGGCTTCTTCCTCTGGGGGCGTTTCGCTTCCTGCTCGTCCAATTAGAGGGCTTCCCCTCCTAAGAAGATTCAACAGAGCCGAGTGATATATATGCGATCTCTCGTGCATGCGTCTGGAAGAGAATATCTTCTCGTAGAACTCGAGCAACAGCATTGCTTGAGCTATGGACAGGCCCACCGGCGCCGAAGCTTCCTCGTGAGTGAGAATTTCCCATCGGCTGCTGGGAATAATCACGTCTGCCAGCCCCCCGTACGGTTCCAAGTTGCCAGTTGAGTCTCTGCTGCTCAATGACACAGCTCCCAAAGCAATCATCACGAGTAGCAAGAAGATGGAGCAGCGGTTCGAAGAAAATGTTGGCTGATGAACGATCGGCAAGCGTGGCGAGATCCTCTTCCAATATTCTTGTAAACAATCTCTCATCATCTCGAGACTCAGAGCAGGTAAGTCTCCGTTGCTCTCCTGTACAAGACTGACTATACGCGGTTCGTACTTGGGCTGCTTGTGTCGGAAGACCTTCAACCACCTCAGGACCTCCTGCCGCCGGTGCTCACTGATGAGTTCGTCACTAACTTCAACTTGCCGAGGTGGCGTCGGATCAAGCTGTGAACGACTCGTCAGTGACTCGTAGTCATAGGGTATGTTGTTGTTGAAAGTTGATTCAAGGCCACCTTCGAGGAAGGGAAGGTTGGCGACTCCATTAAAGTCGCTGAAGCTTGCTTGAGAGTCAAATAGCCATACGGCAAAGTTCTCTCGCGAAAGTGCCTCGTCGGGCTGGAATCCTCTCGGGTCAAACGACGGCATAAGAGGCGGTGCCTCGGGGAGGGTCATCTGATCGCGTCCGTAGTAAGCGGGCTTCGGTCGCATCATCTCGACAGCCATATCATCGATGGACGGCCATGTGGTAGGTTGGCTAATCCTATTGACATGCTGAGCAAGGGACGGGTTTGATGCACCCGTTGTCGGCGTGGGCGTAGCAGAGTCGGGAGTAAGCAGGATGGCGGCATCATGAGGACCGCTTGTTGAAGGCTGAGGAAATGCTGGCCGTGGTGGTGCGCCTGAAGTCGGAGATGACACAGCCGGGCCGGATTGGTTGCCAGATGCGGCAGAGGCGAAGCTGGGCGCGCGATTTCGAGGGATGTACGATGATGAGTGACGCTTCTTGTGACGCGACAGCAGATCAAGGCGGACAAACTTCTGATCGCAACCAGGGATATCGCAAATGAAGATTTCTTTGGGATTGTCTATGGAGAGGCGTCAGGCCGCACCTTGTGACATTACGAGGGCTGCGACTGGACAGGGGAGTTGACTCACGGTTCAACTGGTGCCTCTGGAGATGCTCTGCTCTCGAGTATAACTTGTCGCAACCCGGGTGTTCGCAGACGAACCGCCGAGGAGCCCCTCTGCGACTTGCACGCTTGTAGTTGGCTGCAGCACCACCAGGCTGGCCGGGAGATGGATGGCTCGCCATCGGCAACGGTCATGAGAGCATCGTCAAGAGAGACGCTTGATCCTTAAGCGTAGCTCGTATTTATGGTTTGCTGAGCCCGTATGTACCTTTCTAGGTGGTGATACTCTCATAAGCAAGGGGTGCGGGTACGTTGTGGCACGCCAAGCAAGTTGTGCAGAGCGAGCTGAAGATATTCGCGACAGCCGGTGAGATGGAGACGAGAGGTGGGCGCAAGATGAGATGGAATTGGAGATTGGCAGAGTTGCGCCTCAGGTGTCTGGCATACCGCGGGGGATGGGCGCGTTGAGCTGCTCCTCCCCCAAAAATGCCCCCCTTCCCCACACATCTCAAGCGGAAATGGGGAAGGCGCAACTCGAGATGAGTGGACCCCCCACGCCTGCACGGTGTTGCGCGGCTCTTATCGATAAGGGTACCATAGAAGGTCCACTTGTATATGGAAGGACCCAATGAGAGAATGCCTGCAAGTCATTCACTTACCTAATCAAGTATCGCGATCATTTTCGTCAAAATCCGCTTGGAAATGGAATACGCCATGCCAACCCTGCATCTGATCCAAGGACATCGTGGATCAAGTGATTTGCTCCCGCTCCGCTGGATTAAGCAAGAATTGCGTTCAGGTTATCAAGGGATGTCACGATGGGATGCCTCAAAGAAGAGTATTTCTGTCAATGCAATGGTCTTGCTACTGAGTTTTCTGTTGAGTTTTCCTCATCGAGGAGCTCTCTAGAGTTCCTTGAACAAGTTCTCCGATATGCCAAATGCTAAACCCCTCTCACAATGCCTAGGCTCCGTATACGACATGTTTCAATGTCTGGGAGTGTCTAGTAAAAGTACCCAAGGATCTTGCCCGAGGTGTTCTTTCTGCGAGCCTGGTGGTGATCCATGATACCGGCGGACGTGGTGAGCACGACATGGCCGAACTGGCGGGCAGGCAGAAGTCGGACACCCCATTTCTCCAGGTCTCCCAGTCGGACGTTGAAATGAGGGCTGATGACGCCACATTTGTTCAAGCTGAAAAGGGTCACAGTGGTTCGCAGAACAGGTAGGAGACATTGATGACGAACTGGCCGTTGAGTTAAACGACAATTTTGCCGCCTCGGTGTATATCGACTTCCTCGAAGTCAGACACGTAGCCATGCTGCTGCATAAGCTGGAGGAACTTGACGATGACCTTGGAGGAAGGGCGAAGCACCACTTGGCGCTTGCGCGGACTATCTTAGACCTGTGTGAAGTTGTAGCTCCAAGCTTCGGCTCGTCTGCGTTGATATAGCTTCAATTACAACAGAACGAAAAAAGACTCCAAAGGCAGTGGCTCTATAACATCGGATTTGTCATTGGCTCATTTCAAACTACCTCACTGCCGTTGTCGATCGAAGTCGTTGATGTGGAAGGAGGTTGACCTTGTCCCACTAGACAGAAGCTAAGATAACGAAACCAACGTCAGAGTAACTCGGGAGTCCACGAATCTATCCGTTGCGAATCCGTTTGGCAATCTTCTCCAGGGCCACATTCTCCTTTTCGAGCTTCTTATGATCCGCCCTATGGCTCTCGGCAGCAGGCCCAACCACCTCCAACAACCTTATGCTTGGCATCCCGAGATAGCCCCTGGGCGTCCCAGGCCGCCTATCAAGCCTCCCGTTCCTCATCGCAATGTTGTCGTCGGTGTACTTCCTTAGCCGCTCCGGAAGGACCTCCTCGCCCCTTGTCTGGTGCTCCAGTACCTTGATCAAGTCCACAAACACAACCTTAGAGGGCAATTTGACCTTGAACAACTCCAGCGCGGCCATGGTCTCCCGAAGATCGTAGCTCACAACGCACACCGTCGCGTACGCCGGACCACCCAGCGCATCAAACGTCTCTTGAGCCTTGGCCGTCGCCTTTTCCTCGTAGAGCTCAAACGTCTCATGCGCAGCGGCAGCGTTGTACCACGACCACGGCTTTGGCTGGAGGCTCTTATTGACTTTCGACTTCTCTAGCATGCGAATTGTCCTGGTGCTGCAATGTTTCTTGAAGGCGTCGTGCTTCTTGTCATCCAGAGGTAAGGATCGCCATATAGGCTTGCCCGCCGGTGACATGACATTTATCTCTATCGCTCTGGAATTGCGTTGGTCGGCGTACTGGTATCTGTCTGATAGCTCGCAGGCTACGATGACGATCTGGTCGCCTGCCCAGCAATCCGCCAGGGTCTCGTTTTCGTTGGCGCAGTCTTCGAAGCGACGGAGCTCGCTTTCATTGAAGAGGCGTGGCTTTTGAGCGATGTTGCGGGGAGATGTTCCCGGCGCCATGGGAGTGGAGGATGGACAAGATGATTGGCAGTCGAAGTCGGGAAACTTTGTTCCTTGACGAATTACTTGGCATTTGTGCGAGGAACAGGACAGGACTTCCCTTGCACAGTATATGTAGCACCATTTGCATATACAGACACGAGCTAACATCTAGTTGACTCAATATTGGAGACTCCCTGCCGAAATACGAGGTGGCGGCGTGGGCACTTACTCAGCCCCAACGTGACTCTTACGCCGACGGGTTATGTGATACTCAATAGCACTTGTAAATTAAGCGCACAGACATATAACAAATAGAGCAGACTTATGCCGGACGATCTGATGGTATTGTCATTGAATACTTGGCAACATACCTTAATTGCTGCGATCGCTAGAATCATGAGAAAGAACTTGCTAGAGCTCTCTTTCATGGTAATTACGACCCATGCTAAATATGAGCCCAAATCCCGGAATATCACTCGCTTCAAAACTGGAAGGAAGGACCCGAAAAGAAGGCAGTTTGATCCAGGGAGTTGTTCTGGTTGCCTACTACACCAGAGTCTAGATTGTGGTCAGCAGATCGGAAAGAGACTTGAGAAGAAATCCGGATAGAATAGGCGTAGGCATAATAGGAAGCCACTGAATTTAATCACATAGAGACGACAGGTTCTCTATGGAGCATCCTGCGTCTTTGTGGTTTGCTCCTTGCAGCCGAAGACTTTGTCCCTGCGTCATCCTGATCATCTTGAAATTCATTAAATAGCCAGCAGCATCTGTGGTCAGGTGGTCAAGATAAGTGGAGGAACTTTTTTCCAAAAATGAAGAGAAGTCGTAATATATCTATCCCCCGAGGGCCAAGGGAAACTTCAAGCAACTGGGAGCTGTGCATGGACTACGTTCATGAGTAAATACATATTAGTACTCAAAAAGGTCGATGCCCAAACCAAGAAAAAAGAGTTCACCACCGGTGTGGCTACATCTCTTGGTGCACATGCTGGGCCTCTGACTCGGAGCCTGTCGTCGATTACCTAGGTAGGCTGTGGGCGTAATTGATAATTGGCAATTAACCTCTCCACCACCCAGCCAGTTTGACCTGACCTGTCGACCTAGACGGGCGCCTACTGGCTGGTGACAGCAATGGGACCGAGGGGGTATATGAAGCTTCCTTCCGATGTGTATTCCGTTTATTCAGGTGGTGAAGAGAATATCAGATGAAGGTCCAGCAAGCGATGTGAATCTCCGGAAGGCGCGGTCGGCACCATGATCAAAGTGCGATGTCCGGCCGTCATGCCGTGAATGTCTATAGTTCGACCGCATCAAAGCTGACAGCTCTTCCGCGTTCTTTTGGGCTCGCTGGTTCACTAAGTGATATCTCACTGTACTTGATGGTGATGTGGTGACCCGATTCGACCATTTCAGTAAGTCTGCCAGACAACGTCAGCGCGTCAGACTCAGCCTCAACTCCATCTGGGGCCCCGTCAACTGGACCAGACTGCGCCCTATTGTGGAAATGACGCGGAAATGAGCCAATACTGTTCAACTATTTTTCAGAAACTATTTGTCACTTCATCTGTCGGGCACTCTTCAAGGCAGTGAGCGCGGCAGTGTTTAGCTAGACAGGATAGTTGAAGCTTTCGGGAGGGCTTCATGCTTTTGTTCGAGTTGGGATCGGGCAGAGCTGGGATACTGTCAGCTGGCGATTTGGATCAAGATGATTTGGAATGTAATGTCGCAGATGCAGTGAGATGCTCCGTTGAAGTTGCCAATATCTTCACATAAAAGCCATCATGATACCCAGGAGAATTGGTTTGGATCAACAGACTCGTCACAAAATCAACTGCAATCAAAGCAACTGCTTTAATACTCATTATTCTCATATCACTTAAACTTACAAACATCAAAATGCTAATCGCAAACCTCCCACTCGCCGCCATGGCCCTGTCCTCACTCGCCATGGCTGCTCCTCATCGCAGAGACAATGAGTCGGTCGCGGGTCTCAGCTTGACTGCTCAACTTCAACTCGCGGACAGGTGTGTGAGAATTCTTAACTTAAACTGGTACTGGAACTAGCTGCTAACACATTACTAGCGGCGCAGCCCGATACCGTCTCCTCGCCAAGGACGAAGACTTCATCTACGACTTCAACAAATCCCAAGGCGCCCTCGCCAACCGCCAAACCTTCCCAGCTGTGACCGGCCTAGGCGGCAGCATGGCCGTCGCCTCCCTACCCGGTACGACCAAAGATACAACCTCAAAACGTTGGGAAAAGACAAGCTAACAACACACAAACAGCCTGCGCAATGTCCTTCCTCCACCTCCACCCCCGCGCCTCCGAACTCCTCGTCGTAACCTCGGGCCGCCTCATCACCGAAATGGTCCCCGAAGCCGGCGTCCTCGACGCCTCCGGCAAGCAGCGCGTCATCCGTGCCGACCTGCGCCCCAACCAAATGACCGTCTTCCCCCAGGGATCCTTCCACACCCAAGTGAACCCCGAGTGTACCCCGGCCTCGGCCGTCGTGTCCTTCACCTCGGACGAGGGCGGCACCGCCATGGTGGCGGCGCAGCTGTTTGCGCTAAGCGACGTCATGATTGAGACTTCGTTCGGGTCGAGCATTGCTGGGGAGGATATTGATCGGGTGCGCCAAGCTATTCCGAAGAACCTTGTGTTGGAGGTTGAGGACTGTCTGAAGAAGTGTGGGCTTGAGAAGCGGGCTCTTTAGGTGGTCGAGAACTCAGGAGACGTATGGCTACTGAAGTAGCATTTTGGGAGAGTATAGTTGAGATGTTCCCCCTTTTTTCTTTGCGTCTCTGAATAGGAGTGCGGAACATTCGTTGGCAATTCGTATTCTTTCACTAGCTTTTATTTTATCTTGTCATTTGATTCCAGGACCTTGTTAACAACTCTTCTTCTTTCACTCATTCAACATATACTTATGGGTAGATAGCTGTCATATAACCCGCATGCAAGCAAACATGGAGAATGCCGCGTATGTTGACAAGTTGGCCTAGCATCAGATAGGCACGCAAGAAATCCGATTCTAGATTCCTGAACATTAAGGGGACCCAGCATCAAATGATTCAATACTCAATTGTCAATGTAAAACGTGCATCAATGACTACCAGGTGCCGCGAACAGTGTCAAAGAAGGAGTTGTCTTGGAATCCTATAATATTGTCGCGAGCTTGATATGCCTTTGTGAATGGTTGAGCCACAAGTGTCGCGGATGGCTCTTGCAACTCGATACATTCCATGTCAACTCAACTCGCTTGCTGCTGCGAGTAGAAAAAGTGTAGTAAATTCCTCAGATAGCCTACAATCACAGCACAGCAAAAGAGCCCGCTCGGGCGTCGTCAATAGTCGTTCACTCATTTGATTTTTTGTCTTTAACTCATAAGCCAGATCCCATCTATGAACTCTTGCTGCTCTCGCCAGCCTTATCCTTGCCCTTGTCTTCTTCAACGGCACCATCATCCTCAATCTCAATGCCAGACGCAGCACCGCTCAGCCCTTCCTCCTGGTTTCCGCCCTCCATTTTCTCAGATTGCGCCAAGAACCAGTCCGCGACCTCTCGCTTGTCGTTGAAAAGCGCCGAATCGAGAGGAATTTGATCCTTGTCGTTAGCCACCGCAGGGGAAGCGCCATGGCTGACGAGGTACTTGACTGCCTCAAGGTGGCCGCCCAAGCACGCCCAGTGCAGACCTGTGTTGCCAAACTCGTTGCCGGCGTCGACGTACGCCTTCTTCTCCTCTGCAGGACGGCTGTCAAAGGCTGTGACGAGGGCCTTCACGATATCTGTACAACGAATTAGCTCAAATGCTGGAAGTTTCAAGCGCAAAGAGGCAATAACTTACCGAGATGACCATTACCGGCAGCCATGTGCAGGCAGGTTGACTTGCCCTCATCCTTGGCGGCGGTGATGATCTCGCCTACGGTAGCGCCTTCGCGCTCCGACAGGGACTTGAGGGTTTCTTCGAGATCAGCGAGCTCGCCGGCCCTTGAAAAGTAAATGAGATCGTCAATCTCCTCTTCTGAGAGTTTGGGTGCCATTTTCGGTGAGATTTTGTAAATGCTATCTGAGGACCTAAAATGAGTCTTGAAAGTGAGGTAGAAATTTTCGGGTGATGTGTGTGGAGGTACAGTGTTAGAAGCTCGTGTGCGCACTCCGCACGGCTCCTCTTCCTCTTCAATGGACATCACTGTTCACCCTGTGCCAGCCCAAAAGCAGACGTCAAGCCAGCACCTGAATCGAAACAAAGACTCCAAAGACAACGCTAGAAACGCACATGCGCGAGTGCGACAGATCAGAAAGTCCCCAAGTGCTCATCGAGCCATCTCGACATGTCTCCTGCGTTGTCCACAGCTTGGATCTCTGCCTTGATGCCGAGAAACAGCATCACCTGTAGTTCTCGTCGGCATTCTTGATCATTTTCGGTGCCGTCCTCTTCGATTTCCTTGATCGTGTTGATAGCGCGCGTTCTATCTCGCAGCGTAAGAGAACTAGTAGAGTCGAACAAGCTCGCACCAGGCCGCCTTTGGCTGCCGTTGATATCGGGCCCGTGGCTAGGGGTTGCATCCTGACGGAATGCGAGATCGTCGCTTTTTATGCCGAGCCACTGCATGCTAGGTACAGTCGTTGCCTTTTCGTGTGCATGTCCCCGTGTGCCGTAGCTGTAGCAGCGCATGATGGCAATACCATAGCAGTCGAAGTCCACAAGAGCGAAAATTGGAAGCTCAGGTTTGGCTGTGTGCAGAAGGTGTACGAACTGCTTGGTGTTCAAATCTGGGTAACCTTTGCCCTATGGATATGTCAGAAAGTGGTAGTGCTGCTGTTCCCGTAGGTAAATCTACTGACCGTGACCAGAATGCCCAAGCCAAAGGCTGAAGTCTCCTAGTACCTCGCCGATGCCAGTGTCCGATACGTTGCCTGTTCCAGTCAGCAATGTTTTGCAGCCAACACCAAACCAGTCCAACCTCTTTCTCGATGACTAAGACCCAATGTGCTGGACCAAAGTCAATCTCGG